TTTCTGCTGAGGGTGAGAACGGGGGGCCGCCATCCCTGCTCGAGTCCACGACGCGGCAGCTGCAAGGCGAATCGAAAGGTCGCGAGGCGTACCAGGGAGACCGCACAGGCCGACCCGCAGCAGGCAGACTCGCCTGCAGCACGACGGCCTCAGTGGGCGTGCTCCTTGTCGGGGCAACGGCCGCCGCTGGCCCGACCCCGTCGGCCAGGGGCGAGGCAGCGCTGCCACATCGCGCGGAGGGCGGACCGCAGCGTGAGGCGGAGCAGCGACTGGACCCGCCGGCCCGCCCGCGCCCGCGCGCAGCGCGGCCAGAGAAGCCTTGGGACGAAGCGGCCGGAGAGGCGCACGCCGTGCCGTGCGGCCCGGGGAGCTGGCAGGCGGACTCTGGAAGAGGCATAAAAACGTGGCCAGGCACATATCACAGATAACCAAGAGAGCACGAGCACTCGCCACCAGATTGTACCTTGTTTACTACTACTCTTGCATGTCCCCCCTGCAGAGGGGCACGCCCGACGAAAAGCTGGCACTGCGCCCCCCCGCCCGGGAGAGCGCACGCGCCGCAGCGCGAGCGTGTCCGCAGGAGGCGCTCGCGGGCGCCTCGGGCGCTCCGACAGCGGGGAGGCCTCGACCCCGCAGTTCCAGGCCCCGGCTCGTGCCCCGCGGGCCCAGACCACCGCGTCGCCTGGCCCTCCCTGCCTCGATCGCTCCTCCCTCCTCCCTCCCTGCTCTCCGCCCCGTTGCCTCCTTCCCTCGCTCCCCCTTTCCTCGTCCCCCTCGCTCCTCCTTCCCTCCGCCCTCCCTCGCGAGGCGGGTCATCCGGTGCGCTCTGCCGCGCTGCGCGCCGGTCACCTCGGCTGCTCCGACGTCTGCGGGGCGTCCGCCCCGCCGAACGGTCAGAACAATGAGACGATGCCCAAATCGGGACTCGTCGCATCGGGGTGAATCGGGCATCTCTCAGAGCCCGCGGACCTGCAGGATGCACGGGGCGCCACGGCCGCTCCAAAGAGCGCTTCAGGGCGCTCTGAGAGCGTTCCAGCAAGCTCTGGAGCGATCTACAGTAAGAGCTCGACCACAAGAAACCTTCCACAAGAAACCCAACCCTGAGACCCCAGGACGTGCATTGATTATTGGTGTGGGAACGTGGCGCTTTCCATGGCAAAACCATCGAAATCCAAGAAACCCAGAGCGCCCTAGAGGCAAGCAAGGTGTTTCTTGGCATGGGTTCCCACTGCATCCAGAACCTCACTATCTTTGTGGATGCCATGACAATGGACACTCTAACAATCCGATCCTTGAATTGAAGATGTGTTTAAATTGTGTAAAACATGTTCGACTAATATAACGTTCCAAACATGTTTTTACATATTTAAAACATGTTTGAAACATGTTTTAGACATCTGGAAACTATTTGGCAGCATGCTTCCTCTCCATGAATCAACTTCCACAACGCTGTGTCCTATCACGTCTCGGCCGGCACGGCGCAACGACCCGCACTGGCGCCAAAAAGAGCTCCCCTCACGGCAGCGCGACGCAAGCCTGCTGCCTCGGTGGCTCCCTCCCGGAGCGTGCCGCCGAGGATGCGTGACGCAGGAGGCTGGGCCTGCCTGAAACTTTTTCCGTCGGCGGCGAGGCAGAGGCACTCCGCTCCAGCGTGTGGCTGGCTACTCGGGGCCAGCGAAAGGCTACTTGGAAGCCTGCCAGAAATCATGGTGCCGCGGGTTCTGTGGCCGGCGTCTCTCTCTGGGGCGAGGCCCCTCTCGGCTACACGCAAGGAGTGGCCCTGGGCAAGAGTGTGCCCGTCGGTGCGCGGCTTCCGGGGGGCGCCAGGGGGCTGGGGCCGGCGTCTCTCTCCGGGGCGAGGCCCCGCTTTTCTCCGCCTCGCCCGCCCCGCTCCCGCCAGCGAGCTCGGCGAGCGGGGGCGGAGGCAAACGTTTTCGATCGCGCTGCCACTTCGCCCTCGCTCGCAGATTCTTTGCAGTCGGCCCAGATCATAAGGATGCGCGATAAGGATGCAAGGGCCTTCCTTGGACGCCCGTTTCTAAGCTGTTCGAGCGGGGTGCGGCCAACGAAAGTGGCCAAGGCTAGACCGAGGAGGCAAGGATGCAAGGGTACCCTTGGAAAGGATGCCCATTCTTATTATGCGGGTTGACTGTATATCATTCCTGCCTCCTCCCTCCTCGCCTCGCGCGGACCTCGCTCCTTCCGCATCCGTCCTCCCCCCTCGCCCATTCCCGCCCCTCTCCTCCCTCTCTCCCTCATCTGGCCCCTTCCTCCCTCCCTCCTCATCCTCATCCTCCTCATCATCATCCCTCGCTCCTCCATGTTTCCCTTTCTCGTCCCTCGCCCTCCCTCCCTGGCCTCTCCTCTCTCCGTGCCCCCCATCCTGCCTCTCTGCTCGGAGCGGTCTGGCGGCAAGCGCCGGTCCCAGGGCCTTCGCCTGGCGCCTGAGCGTGGCCACGACCTTCCACGCCTGCATCGCCTGCAAGACAAGGTGCGCCTCCTGCGGCGGAGGCGACGGAGAGGGAGGAAGGGAGCAAGACGAGGGATGATGGGCCCCCCTGCAAGAGCAGGAGGGCCTTGCAGATGCTGGCCAAAACAAGTGGCCCGTCTGGTGGTCCGCGGCGCATCCTTCCTGTTGCGGGGCCACGCCCGCTTGAAAGCCAACAATCCAAGTACGTAGGAGGGGAAACCAAAAGGTATCGATACCGCTACTCCCTGGACCTCTCCGGGGGTGCGTTCTGACTAGAATTTCGAGGCGTATCCAGCGGTGGCGACGAGGGCCTCCCGGAAGCACCCAAAAGGGGCAAACAAGGCAAGGGTAGCGGTACGGGTACCTTTTCCTCATCTGCGTAGGAGGCGGGAGGGGGGGGCGGGGGTGGACGTTCGCTCAGCAGCTGTGGTAAGTGTAAGCAACTGGGACATGTTGTCGGCCAGCCCTTGCTGCTTTGCACAGTGGGCAGTGGTGGGGATGGCCCTGCCGCATCTGGCTGAGAACAGCAGGGCGGGAGGAGCGCCCGGGTCAAGGTGTCTGTCTGCCTGCGCTTTGGGCCAGGACCGCTTCGGGTTAACCTGGATTGGAAAACTGGATTGAAAACTGCTGGAGGTCGGCTCTTTCCTCTTCGCACCATGGGCACTGGTGGGGCGGGTCCTGCCGCATCCTGCGCAGGGTCGAAAAGGGGTAAATAGTGTCCAGATCAGCATGGATTGTCTGAGTGGGCCTGGGGCCAGGACTCATCTGGATCGGTGCAGCAAATCTGCATGGCCATGCTGGATGTGGCTATGCGGTGTCGCGCCACGTCTGCAAATGACTTGCAAATCTTGCTTCGTGGTGTTGTTTCCAGAGCTCTGAAGTGCATCCAAACAAGCATTGTGACCTGTCTCTTTTATGCGCTGGCGGCCAAGAGGATACCTTCCAAACTCTCTTTGTCGTCCTTCTCGTCATCGTTTTCCTGCTTGTCCTCGTCCTCCTCCACTCCATCCCTCGCCCCGTCCTCGTCGTTATTTTCCTTTCTCCTCCCTCCTTCCTCATGCCCCTACGTGTCCTCAACCCCCTCCTCATTCTCTTCGTCATCCTGCCCCTTCCTTCTCCTCCTCCTCATCCTCCTCCACCTCCTTGTCATCCTCCCTCTCCGACTCTCCACTGTCTCCAGAGGTCTCCGGAAGCCTCCGCCAGAGGTGCCCAAAAGCACCCACAGGGTCCAAACAGACCAACCGAAACACATGTTTGCAAGCGTGGGCCCCAGACAGTAGGCTCTTGTGCTCTCAATGTTTTTGTGGTGCGAAGCTGTCTATCATGCGGATGCGACATATATATGTATATATATATATATGCACGCACACATATATGTATGTATGTATGTATGTATGTACGTACGTACGTATGTATGCATGCATGTATGTATGTATGTATGTATGTATGTATGTATGTATGTATGTATTTATGTATGTATATATGCATGTATGCATGTATGCATGTATGCATGTATGCATTTATGCATTTATGTATGTATTGTATGTATGTATGTATACACACATATATATGTATCGGTCAATGTGTATGTGAATGCATGGTTGCACGCGTTTCTTTACATATACGTTAATCAACGTGGATTCCAAACACTGGGGTACTACCGCTCCATGTTGCGTTGTACGTGTAACAACGTATGTAATGCAACGCGCGTGGTGCAATCAGTGTTTGGAATCTGTGCTATACCTTACGTTTCCAGTTGTTGTAATGCACTTTTTGTGGGACACTCCATGCGGTGCAATCGGCGCGGTGCAATTCATGTTGTGCATTCTATATTGTGCACTAATTGCTTGTGTCGCTTGAGTCGTGCATTCTACGCAGTGCACGCTCTGTTGTGCGCAACCCATGTGGTGCAACCGACGTGGCGCAATCTATGTGTTACAATCCACTCTGCTGAACTTGAAGTCGTCATCTCCACTGCTCGCGCAAATATCCCACCCACCCACCCGCAACTTGGTTTGCAAAACCTCTTACGACCGACTACGACGACACCGACGACAACGATTACGACGACACCGACGACGTCTCCGACGACTTCGACGACGACAACGACGCCGACGCCGACGCCGACGAGGACGACGACGAAGTCGCCAACGAAGGCGACGACGAGGGAGGAGGAAGGACGACGACGGCGACAACGGCGACAACGACGACAACGACGAGGGAGGAGGGAGGACGGCGACGACGCGAACGACGAAGAAAGAGGAAAAAGGACGCGGCCGCGCGACGCCCGACCGACGACAACGACGAGGGAGGAGGGAAGACGACGACGACAACGACGACGCCGGGACGACGGCGACGAAATAGGAGGGACGACGACGAGCGACGCGAGCGAGACGCCCAGCCCCGACCGACGGAGACGACCGGAACACCTCGAGGGAGGAGGAGGAAGGAAGGACGATAACGGCGACAACGACGACGGAAACGACCACGACGCCAAAGAGGACGACGACGACGAACACGAGGAAAGACAGAGGACGACGTAGGCGACGACGACGACGCGGGAGGAGGGAGGACGGCGACGACGACGACGACGACGCAATAGCGCGCGCGCACGCTTTTGTTGAAACTCCGTGTTGCGAAACCTTGGGTTTTTGTATGTTTTTTGGACGCGCGATTTCGAAATCCTTCCGAAACCGATGGGTTTTGAAGGATTTCGGCATACGCGCGCGACGACGCGCGCGTCTGCACTTCGTCCCATTTTTTGAAGAGGACTCTCGCGACGACATGCGCGCGCGACGCCCGTTCGGTAGTATTTTGTGAAAATCTTGAAAAACCCATGGTCTTCTTCAGATTTCGCAGTAGCTCGCGCGGAAGTTTTTTCAGCAAATCAGTGTTGCGAAACCCTGTGTTCTTGTATGTCTTTTTGGAATCTCGATTGCGAAATCCTTCCGGCACCGAAGGTTTTTGAAGGATTTCGGCATGCGCGCGCGACGACGCGCGCGTGTGCACTGCGTCCCGTTTTTTGTAAGGGATTCGTGAAAAAGTGTTATGTTAAAAACAACAAATGTCACCGCATAGTGTTTTTTACGAGGGAACCTCAGGGGGGGGGATACCGGCTTGGCTGGGTATGATACGATTTCATATTTAGGATGGACGAGTGTGCATAATAAATCTCAAAGCGCAATGCGCGAAATATATTACATAATTTATATTTATATATTATATATATATATATATACATTTCTTAATATTTATTTAGTTTTTTATATTTAATAAACATTTAAAATACTAAAACAATGCAAAAACTTAATAAAAATATATATATATATGAAATTATACTATCCCAGAGGGGAAGCGTTAAGTCCGGGGGGGGGAGGGTCGAGTGTAGTCTCTTTTTAGAAAGGAGAATCTACGTGATCTAATCACTGTGATGCAATCTATATGTTGTGCAACCGACGTGGTGCAATCTTTGTGGTGCAAACTATGTGGCGCAAGCTATGTGCTGCGACCTGCGTTGTACAACTTGTGGTGCAATTCGCTTGGGGAACTCGAAGTTGCCAGCTCCACTTTTCGCGCAATCATTCCACCCGCCCGCCCGCAATTTGCTTTGCAAAACACGAGCGGCGGCGATTGCCATGAGTGCTTGGCGTTGGCTGGTGCCTCTCTGCGGCCGCGCCAGCTCGGGCATGTACTTGCGCGCGGCGGCCAGCTAGCTTGGCGCGACCGACGCGGCCGCGGTGGCGCTGACCGCTGGGCACATCCCAGCGGGCACTTCAGTGCGAATCGGCGGCTTGAGCGGGCGCGGTATCATGGCAACGTCGACAACAGTAGACACGATGATGATAGTAGCGATGCTGGTGGCGACGTTGACAACGACGACGGCGCGGCCAGTGACGGCGCCGATGCGGGTCACACCGACGACGATGACGGCGTCTTCGCGTCGGTGATGAAGGTTTGGGTGGGAGTTCGACAAGCGCGCGGCCGACGCGCGAGTGGCCCGCATTGTTTTATTAGGCACGGATCGTGCCCCCCCAGCACGCGTGCAAGGGCGTTCGAATGATTTCGGCATGCGGCGCGAGTGGCCCGTTTGGCAAAATTCCTTCACATTGTTGAAACGCCGGTAGATTTCTGAAAATTCCGCAAGAGCGCGAGGGCGTGTTTTTCTCTTCAAAACCGTTGTTGCGATCGCAACACATGATTCTACATGGTTTCGCGACACTCGGTTTTGAATTCGGTGCGACACTTGCAAGATTTGAGACGGATTCCGGCATGCGCGCGCGACGACGCGCGCGTGCACTTCGTTCCTCTTTTTCCAAGAGGGATTTTCGCGACAGTGAGCGCGCAAGGGCGTCGAACGATTTCGGCATGCGCGCGCGAAGAGAAACCTATGATTTCCTTGAAAATTCGCAAGGGCGTGCGGGCAAGCTTTGTCCTGGAAAATCCGTGTTGTGAAACCATGTGGTTTGCAATCCTTGCGGAACTGGGGGTTGTAACGGATTCTTGGAAACTCACGTTTTTGATAAACGAATGCGCGCGCGTACTTTTTGTGCAGAGGATGGCGGGGGGTGTCGATACCTGACTGCGATGGTGCGGATTCGGGTTTAGGATGGACGATGGGGCAGAATCGCATGTCTTCTGCTATGCGCAGAATAGGTGCCGATAGTCCCGCGGGGGGGTATAATCTATTTTCTCGTGAGAAAGGAGAACCTATGCGGTGCAACCCACTTTGACTGTCTTGAAGCTGTCCTCTCCATTGCTCGTGCAAACATCCCACCCACCCACCCGCAACTTGGTTTGCAAAACCTGTTCAGACCGACTACGACGACACCGACGACAACGACTAGGACGACACCGACGACGTCTCCGACGACTTCGACGACGACAACGACGCCGACGCCGACGCCGACGAAGACGACGACGACGCCAACGAAGGCGACGACGAGGGAGGAGGAAGGACGACGACGGCGACAATGACGACAACGACGACAACGACGAGGGCGGAGGGAGGACGGCGACGACGCGAACGACGA